ATAACTCACACTCCGACTCCCGTCATCCCCCGGCTCCCCTCTCCTTCTCACTCGTGAATGCTTCGGATTCACGAGTCGATACTCTCCGGGTTCATACCTCACGGAGAGGGTGGATTGACAATGTTGAGTGTAATAGTCGGAAATGTCCTCAACTGTACATAATACTCGCTACCACTCAACACAGGATACATTGCCTATACTGTAATGTGTGTGTGTGTGTGTGTGTGTGTGTGTGTGTGTGTGTGTGTGTATGTTTAATGGCCTACTCCTCCTCAGCAAGTGTGCTGCACACAACCACACTATCACCAATACCTTGTTTAGGCAGGCAGACAAGTTCAAGGGCTCGTGGCAACACCCACGATCCAAACACTAGCATCTCATTGACCACATCATTGTCAGAGAAAGAGATCTCTGAGATGTCCTCATCACCCGTGTCATGTGTGGCTCAGACCACTGCGGCACTGATCAACAGCTCGTTAGGGCTAAGCTCTAACTTCACGTCGCCCCAAAACGGCGAAGGCAGCAAACCTCTAAAAGAGGTTTTAACACTAAGCGTCTGGAGGATCCAGCTGTAGCACATACATTCAGAGAGCAGCTCGAACATGGGCTGATAAACAACCCGATAACAAACGACCCAAATCCCAGTGCAGATTGGGATATTCTCGACACTGTCATGACAAAAACCGGCAGAGGCCCTCTGTCAGATCGAAAGAATGCACCAGTACTGATTTGATGAAAATGACCCTGCAATCAATGTACTCATCAATGATAAGCGTGCTCCTTTAACTGACTGGCAGAACAACCCTCAGTCTCGGACCAAAGCTGATACCTTGAGCAAGAAGAAGGCGGCGGCCCAGCGGGAACTTCGCAATCTAAAGAATGACTGGTTTAAAAATAAAGCATGTGAAACACCAAAAAATTGCAGATCAGCACAAGATGCACGAATTATTCAATTCCACCAAAACATTTTATGAGCCAATCACTCGTGGCGAAGCCCCCCTCCGCTCATCCGACGGTAACTCCTTAATTAAAGACGATGAAGGCATCCTTCAGCGCTGGAAAGAGCACTACCATTCATTGCTCAACCGAAACACTAATGTGGATGTCCTGACTACACAGCAGGTCCCAACACTACTGCCATGCAACAAACCAGAACATCACTCCAACTTGCACACCTCCCCAGCTAAATGTACAATGTTAGAAAAGTACATCACATATGACAGCTGTTTTCTAATTAACTTCTCAAACCAGCGATACAAACCAAACAAACTGGAATCGTTAAGTTCATCTTAGTTGTTCTGTCACCTCAAGAAAGAGCCGGTTCAGCAGTGATCTCCGCTATACTTGTCTAATAATGAGGGCGTCTTGCCTCCGTCGCCCGCAGTCATTATAACCCACCTTTCTCTTGTGACAGCCTCCCCCTCACTCCTCCCACCAACACCCAGCCTCTCCCTCAGTCACCCCACCAACACCCAGCCCCTCCCTCACTCCTCCCACCAACACCCAGCCTCTCCTCACTCATCCCACCAACACCCAGCCACGGCACCAGTCCAACTTCCACCTACATAATGTATGAATCAGAGGCAGGTCGCCGCCCCCAGACACAACGGCGGAAGAACAGTTGCCTCCATTTATAACGGGTACAGTGGCTGGTGTGTTTTGTGAGACGTGGCACTACCGCCCCCACCAGATAGGAGCCAATGACGTTCTACTTGGTAATCTATATATTAAAACTGTTACTATGCCGGAAATACTCGTTTTTACAGATAGAGGGAAGGGGGGAGAGGGCGTCTTAATTAGCATCCTTGGTCTGGTTACTGTAGCGAGGGTAGTTCTGCCTATTCTGGTAGGTTTACTACCATGTAAACAAACAGTGGTGCCACATCTCACAAAACACGCCAGCCACCGTACCCGGTATAAATGGAGGCAACTGTACTATACATCTTGATCTGCCTTCTATTGTTGAAATCAAGGAGCCATGAACTTTTTATTATCGTGAGTACTGTGTATCTATTGGCAGGAAGCACTGGTAGTGCCCCAGGTGCTGCCAATTACCGATAATAAACCTTAATTTACTCTCACCTGGTACAATCTATTACTCTAAGGCACACATTAGTGGATGACAACCATGATATATTTACAATTGTTTATTACTAACCCTACTCTCACCTCGAGGCATCAACGTCTTTGTATTACTAATAATCACTCGCTTGGTGTCATCTTGTGGTTATAAAGCCTGAAATGGCTCCACTTACTACCGTCTAGTGGCTGTAAATGCCGACACACTCACGTACTACCATCTGAAGTTTGCGGTATTAATCTCAAGTATTAATCTAACCTCCATGACACCTTCGCTTTTTCTCTACATTCACTCGTCTTCCAGGTTCCTCTTTCTCTTCCTACGTGAAAGTAATTGTTTCATCCGTGAGTGAAGACATAAAGTGTTCAAGAGGGAGTTCCCGGATATGGTGTAGTTACCAGTGATGGTCCGTCATGGTGGTGCCTCTACCCTTCCCCAGTCACACAATATAAATATACGGTGCCGGTATGCAAAAGAAAGTTTACCAAGACAGTACTCATAGTATACAAACACAGGTAAACAGCAAGCCAACTCGACCAAGGACAACCAACAAAAAAGTGAGATACTTATTCCCTTAAATATTGTCTCCTAATACGAATTAAGTAAACGCTATCTTGTTTATTTAATCTGTATAATTGTTTAACGTTATTTTTGTGTTTGGCGTGAATCAACCAATAAGGGGGCATTCTACATCCCCAGTTAAGTGTAAATTTTAATTGTACGAATCTCTGTGACTGACGGTCTGGCGTCTGACCCCCGTGGTTCTTTTTTAAGGAAAAACTCAAACAGACTGACATAAATTACCGCTTTATCGTTGCTGCCGATGATAATAACCCACACTCAGAGAGCAAACAATGTAGAACTTAAAAGTGTTTGGGGAGCGTGGCGCCCAGCTGTTGTGTGAGGCAGCTTTCCTGCGCTCTCTCCTAACGCAAAGTAAACATGCGAGACCCACCGTGACTCTTCCTTCCCACTTTCCAATTTAGAGAATTATTATTGTGTCTACGACTCTACGAGATACGACCATTGACCTCTATGTAACTACACCTTCTAAAGCAATTCAAAATTAATGTATAGGATTAATATCTACAGAGCATATAATTTTTGTGAACGTTTAAATAATTTGTATCGTAGATGTCATCCAAATGTTACTTTTTCTTCACATAATTAGGAACAGTTTGTGTGTGTGTGTATGTGTGTGTGTGTGTGTGTGTGTGTGTGTGTGTGGAATACCGTAACTCGGCCAGTGGAACACGATCTCACATCTCCAGTTAAGAGTAAAAATTATCGCAGAAACTTTTGAAAGACCATCATTGTGGTGTAGGTTCAGCGAGCCAGTTAACGAACCTTTGAGAATCTGGCACCCCCCACCCCCCCCACACTCACCGGCCTGGCACCACCATCACTACCACAAGAATGAAAACTTACTTGCACTCATTCACCTCACCCTTGCTCTGCCATTTTTCTCTTTTACTCAAGTGTTACTCTAGTGGAGTACATAGGTGTTGCTTTAGTGTTACTTTAATGAGTCTACTCCGGTAAGTCTTACTCTAGTATTGTCTGGTGGCTACTCTAACACCAAAAACAGGTGTATTGAACCTCGAAACCATTACGTTGATCTTGGCTTACTCGTGTGATGTCAGTAATGGCCGCTTTCAAATACAAGGCAGTAGTGTTATACAGTAATCATACGCTGCCTTTTTAATACCATCAGTCCTTGGTGTCTAACCTTTAAAACCGGTATTAATGACTACGTTGCTTCTGTGGCATCAATATTGTCTGATTTCTACCGTGAGAAGTGTTCTGATATCACCAGTACCCGTAAAACTTAGTACAGGTGCTGTCGGTGTAAACGCAGATATATTAGGCTCTGCTCTGGCGTTCAGGTTTACCCGATTTCTGTCATGGAAGGTGTTATAAATATTCTTGATTTCAATAACAAAAAAAAATTAACATAGGAGGCGTTATAAGCTCACTTTAAATTGAACATTACATAATTTCCAACATGCGAGGCTGGTAAATGTGGATGTGTCGCTTGGTCTGGTCTGTCAGCCGTGATGGTGGAGGGTGTTAAAGGGGTCGAAGAAAATTGTTGACCATTCCCAAAGATCCCGAGGCAGAATTTCCATCACATTTGACTGTGTACTGTGCATCACCGTTTCTGAGGCATTTATTGTTATTATTACCTTCCTGATTGGATATTTACCTGCATGTTCAACTGTTTTTCAAGTATCAGTATAGTTTCTTGGTTATAAACTTACCTGTGCGTCTCGCCTTTTTTTTTTTACTAATTGGAGATTCATTCATTATATTTCGTCCAAGAGTTAAGTGATTAGAAATTACGTGTACTGTATGTTTTGATTTGTCTGGTGGGAAACATTTACGTGTTGAATGTTTTTTGTATTAGAAAGTTTCATGCCTGTAATGTTTAATATTATTTTACAAGTTTTTATCAAAATTATACAAGTTGTTCCGTCATGTCAGGAATTCTTACCTGTGTATTAAATATATCAAGGAAATCGACTAACTTTTCTGAAGAGTTTATTAGCGATTCCTTGATTTTGGAAACTTCACGTGTATACAGTGCCTGTCCTTAGAGGTAAGACATCTTATATTAAACTAAAAAGTACCACAGACAGGGCCACTAAACGATCCATAGGGTAGTATCAGTTAGGTCATTTCCCTTAAAAAAATGGATCACCTGAAGATTAGTCCAACCACCTTATTTCACCTGATTATTAATTAACCACCCTAACGCTAACCTAACCCCTTCAGGTAGCGTTAGAATATTTAATTATCAGATGAAATAAAGTGTATGAATCAGTCTTCAGGTGATACAAAAAGAATTATCGGATTATGTCGTGGTATTTTTCCAACACTGTGTTTCCCTGGATTTCACGGTTGCTCGTCCCTGTTGCAGGAGGCGTTGTCCCAGATCATCCCCTGCTGAGGAACAAACGCGCCCTACGCCTCAATGTTCCTTGTATGGAGAATGGTCAGTTCTACCGCAACCCCAGCGCCAACCCGGAGAAGATTTGGAGCCTGGGCGAGTGTTCCAAGTACTATCTCTGTCTAGGTGAGTCTTTTAAATTAAACTAGTTAAGCTGGATTAGTGTTAGGCTAGATTAAAATACCAGATTACTACTAGGTTAGGTTAGGCCAGCGTTAAGTGAGTGCTAGGCAAAGTTAGTATCAAATTGGGTTAGGGTGTCGACAGTTATGTTAGGCTAGATGGAAGGTTAAGTAGGGTTATGTTAGACTCAAACAAGGTTAAGTTAGTAGGTCAGCCTAGGTTAAATTAAGGCTAATAATTGGAAACTTGATTGTTGTTAGTTTGGCGGACAATTTTGGTCTCATTTTGCCCAATATTTGATGCTTAATGCAATGCAGGTATACAAATAATGGACATAGACAATGCAGGTATACAAACAATGATATACAGTAAAGCAATTTGACCAAGGATAACTAACAAGGCCATTATAATGCTTCTTCCCAGTAGAATCCGTGCATTAACACTGGTAGACAAAGATGTTGGGAAGAGCTTTATATAAAACAATCAACTGTCATTAAATTATCACAAAGTACAATAATAGGTCGAGACGATTTCAGCAAGGGAAAGACTGCTTGAAGTTGACGTATCACCGCTCAGGAAACCTCATACTACCACATACAGTAGCCTAGTACCTCACCCTTGTACAGTACAATGTTTTACCCACTTAGACTTGCACAGTTGTTTAGTATGATGCCACGTACAGTATCTTACCAAGTACAGTATCTCACCACGTACAGTATCTCACCACGTACATTATGTGACCAGTAACCGTATTGTACTCCTACAGACGAAGAAGTATACGAGTTCAAGTGCTCGGTGGGGCTGCTCTTCGACATCAACAGGCAGATATGTGATTTCAAGTCCAAGGTGTTCAACTGTGACTCCCACATCCGTAAGTATAGAGAGAGAGAGAGAGAGAGAGAGAGAGAGAGAGAGAGAGAGAGAGAGAGAGAGCAATCCTGATTCGGTTCTTTCCTGTTAAGTAATAGACCTAATTACGCTTCAGTTTTAACTGGCCCCAACCCTAACCGACCTAACCTAATCTAACCCAAATCAAACTTATCTAATCTAACCTAACTTAGCATAACCTAAGCCTATATTTACCTAACTTGAGTCTTCCTCTCTGCTCGTGACACAGAGTTGACGACACCTAAGCCTCTCTTGTATACGGAGGAGCCCATCTGTGACTTCGGGGAGTACGCCTGCGCCGATAGGACCTGTCTCCCCTCTGAGCTCTTCTGTGATGGTCAGGTCGACTGTCTGGATAGTTCTGATGAAGGCTGGTGCGGTGAGTTTACTGTCCCGGTACAGGTTGCTTGAGGTTCAGAACACAGACGTTTAGGTTTATAATAAGAGGCACTTAAGCTTATAATAGAGGCCTTGAGGTTTATAATAGAGGTCTTGAGGTTTATAATAGAGGTCTTGAGGTTTATAATAGAGGCCTTGAGGTTTATAATAGAGGTTTTGAGGTTTATAATAGAGTTTGAGGTTTATAATAGACTTTGAGGTTTATAATAGAGACTTTGAGGTTTATAATAGAGACTTTGAGGTTTATAATAGACTTTGAGGTTTATAATAGACTTTGAGGTTTATAATAGAGACTTTGAGGTTTATAATAGACTTTGAGGTTTATAATAGAGACTTTGAGGTTTATAATAGAGTCCTTGAGGTTTATAATAGAGGCCTTGAGGTTTAGAACAAATTATGTGCCTCAAAACAACAAGAGCTCAAATCAAGGTCATATTCCCAGGAACCACCAATTTAACGATCTTCTGTTTCTCCAGATGCTGACCACGACCCTAACGCCGCCCCCAAGTGTGACTACGCCAATTGCACGTTGCCCTGGTGCTTCTGTTCGAGGGACGGCACCCTCATACCTGGCAACATGGAGCCAGCACAGGTATGCCCCACCCTAACCTCCTTCACACCAGCAGGCTCTGTAACCAGCCACACACCTGTACTGTCTACTTGCCACACCTTTATACCGTCTGCTTTCCACTTGTCACACACCTGTACTGTCTACTTATCTAGAACCACTTGCTTGTTTATTATCCGTTTGTACTTATCACCTCATCTAATGGACAATATAAATTTAATAACTGTATTTTACTGGATTCAGTTGTCAACTAATGGTCAACTCATGGGGGTAAAACTGTATCACTGTAACCGCATTATCTTTTCCTCCTGCAGGTGCCCCAGATGGTGTCGCTGACATTTGACGACGCAATCAACTACGAGAACTGGAACCTGTACAGCCAGCTGTTCAACGCGGAGAGGACTAACCCCAACGGCTGCCCCATCCATGCTACCTTCTACGTCTCCCACGAGTACAACAATTACCAGTACACCCAGCAGCTCTGGAACGACGGCCACGAGATCGCTGTCCATTCTATCACGTGAGTTTTCAGCGCCTTAGGTCGGGGAGAAATACTGTATCACCGGCTTGACTTATATCACTCGTTCTTTATAGGATACAACAAACCTATGCTAATCTAAGCTAAACTTATCCTTAGTAAACCTCACATCACCTCACCTAATCAAATATAACGTTGCCCTATCAACTTTAACCTAATCAAATCATTTTGTTAGGTTACATACAGTGTGGTTGAATATTGACGTTTTTTCCCCAAATGAACTAGTTTAGCAGTGTTGCTCGTAACATTACCATCATATTGTATTTTGCTATGAGGTTCTTGGTTATCTAACATTTCAGACGAGGAAAGGCTGTCTCAGAACTTACAGATGCAAATGTCGCTAATTTGTGTCTCGGTCCAGGATTTTTATCACTACCACTTACGTGAGTTCAGTCCAAATAAAAAGATGGCTGCTCAACGTGACTGTTGAGTCCCAGCGATTTGGGTTAGCTTTGGTTTGGTTATTCAGAATAAATTAAGTTAACAATATTACTAGTGTCGGTTTTGTGAGGATTATGCATCGCTTCGGGTCCTCTGTTTACAAAGTGGGGAAAATTAGAACAGTGGTGGACGTAAGGGTGCACTAACGAGGGTGTTCGGAAGGATTCAAATTAACATTAACGTCAATATCATCAATGAAATCCACATGAAAATTGTTAGATACTAAAGCTGGACTACCAAACCCCACCGGGATGCTCGGTTTTTAATATTTACTGGTACACCTGGTCGGAACTTCAAGTTACAAGTTATACGACGTTTATAGTTTCACAAAACTGAATATAAAACGAAAACATTCTACCAGGCTCTGTTAGAAAAACCTGAATAAAAAAAATATATATATATATAATATATGCTTCTGTTGGTTCTGTTTATAACGCGGGTGCTGTTACTCCAGGCACCGTGGACCCGAGAACTTCTGGACACACAACGCCACCATCGAGGACTGGTTTGACGAGTTTGTGGGTCAGGCTAACATCATCAACCGCTTCGGTGGCGTCCACATGGAGGACCTCTGGGGTACGTCATCACCTCATTGCTCTACACTAGGCTCCGAATGTTAATTTTTCATAAGGTTTAAAACTAACGAATCCTATCCTGACATACTGTATATCTAACCTAACCTAATTCCACAGGTTTCTCCTAATTTAACCTAATCTAAAACAGTGTAACAACCTAATCTAATTTAACCTTACCAAACACAACATTATGTAACCCAACCTAACCTATCACATATTATAGGGCAGAACACTGGAGTCTGTGTTCGGAACGGTATTATATTATTAGTGTTGGTTATTTTAATTATATTTTTATTTATTTATTAGTTACAAATATTCGTCGATTTGGTGAGCTGTGGTCAAAGATTTTTGTCTACGTTCGATATTTTGCTGTACGCCGATGCTAATTTATTTGGGGTCTCAAGTTGTTCACTGATTTACAATTTCACAAGCAGGGTAAACAGATTTAGCTTTCCGTTTTCGGTTGGTTTAGCATTAAATCGGCCATTTCGAGATTTTTAGTACTTTTCGACATGATCGTCAGGAATATATATATATATATTTTTAGTTTTTTCATTTGTTTTTCCGATTCGGTTTCATAGTTATAGCATGCTGGATGTGGGAGGGTGGCTTTGGGGGTGGTAGGATGTTGGGGTGAGGTGGCTTGAGATTGAGGGATGTTGGTCGTTGTAGGGCATTAGACTAGGTGCTGGGGAGGGGCGTGCCCAGGATTTCACCGGGGGAATTAACTACGAACTTAGATTGGTAATATTATGTTGGAATCCAGAGATGTTATATTCAAATTTGCTAACACAGTCACTAGCTTGTAGGCCTATTTTACTTACTTTCGTTACACAATGATTCATGCTAGGCACAAATACATACTTCACAAACTAGCTTCTATTTAACACTTTCTAAAACAATATCCTTCTTTACTTGATAATCACAGATAAGCATGCATACCAGTTAGCATTTTTTATTACCTAATCACAGGTAGTTACTAAAAAGAAAGTATGAACAAAGTAAAATCTTAAAAGAACACAAAATGTAACATCAAATACAGCATGTACTGTACAAATTGAGAAAAAGCTACTTCGCATTTTCAAACTCTCTTTCATAGTAAGCACAGTACACAGAAATCCCCCTATGATATATCAAATTCAATTAACCTCATTAGGACTCGAAACTGGTACACAGAGAAAAGGTATCCCAGTTGTTACCACTACACTACGACCCTTCAAACCTTGATTGTACTGTTTTAAGGGTCGTATTGCAGTGGTGGTTACGGCTGGGATACTTGTTCTCTGTGTACCAATTTCGAGTCCTGATGAGGTTAATTGAATTCCCTGTACGAAAATAACGAAACAATGAATTAATATATATTATTTAGAAAGGACATAGCATTAATACCTTTCAAGTTACTATGCTATACTTATTCTAACATGAGGTTCAAACGTCTAGATTTCTTTCGAGCAAAATTATCAAGAATCAAAGGGGCATCATTTAGACTGAGTATATTTCTGTTTATAGCCATTAGGGTCAAACCTGACAATCTATCATCCTTCATGGTGCTACGCAGCAGGTTTTTAGTCTCCGTAGATTCGAGAATGAACTTTCAGGGCTTCCAGTTGTAACTGGTTGGACAGCAATAACTCGCAGCAATCTGTTTATGACACGAAAGCTGTTGTTGTCACATTTTACTAGGGCTGAGGTAGCATCGATGGGTCTAGTATTGTGAGGTGCTAATTTCTACATTTCTGCCCAAACATTCCATTCTCCTAGAGCTTGCTGAAGTGTAGCGTGAGGTAAGATTTTACTCCAAAACGTATACGCCTTTTCAACATCGGCGTACTGGTACTTCAAGATATTCATGAGGAGATCTTCACTTTTGAAGTAGCCTAATAGTTACTGAAAAAAAAAACTTATTAGACACAAGTGGCTAAACAAAAATATCACAGACTATGGCAGATAACAATTGAATTAGTGATGATAATATTTAGTAAGTATCGTAAATATTCTCTGTATCACTATCACAGTATCACTATATTCCTCTAACCCGCTTACAAACAGTCCCACGTTACGTGCCACGTTGATGCCTAAATACTGTTAATTATTTCCTTTTTTTTCCTTCGTGTAACACTGTTGACAATGTACTGTACTGCACAGCACTTTGTTATTCAGCAATCTTCACTGATATAGTTACGGTATACAGGCCCTACGGCTACATACTTACGAAGGATGAGTATCCTAATAGTAACTGAAAATTCTATTGGACGCTAGTGGCTGAGCAAACATCGCATATTGCCCACAGTTCAATAAATGTTTTAAAAGGTTGTTTAGAGTAAGGAATAAGTAATTAAGCAATGCAATTTAACTTCATTAATTAATATCATGAACGATATATTAAAAAACACCTATTGATATGAAATTATTGGTGGAAGATTTATTTATTTTTTAATTGAAAACCATTGACAGACGCTATTGTAATTTGGAGTTGCCATGCAGACAAGCACAGGTCAGAAAAAAAACCGAAGTACAATATTAATTATTATACCAGTTTAGAAATACATGAAACAAATCCTTCCGAATTTAAAATTTAGCACTTCAACAAATCCACCATTTTGTTTCGTGAATTAATATGTTTCCAAAGTTTTCCGCCTGGAAAATCTGATCACCCTATTCACAATGTTACACAAGGCATAGTGGCCGCGAAGTCACCAGTCAGATTCTGTTCGCTCGGGCCCACTCGCTGCTTTGCACTGCTCGCTGTCTCGCAGTCGCTCACTCGTCAGCAGTGCTGCCGTTTGACGGAAATTCGTCTGCTAGACGGTAAAAAAATGAAATTCGATGACGTCATTGTACCGGCCCCAGTGGCCCGTCGAAAAAATACCGAAATTGTTAATTAGGCCTCTTTTAGGGTCAAATGCAAAATATATATGATATAGAATAATTATGAAGGCATTTTATTTTATTTCCTTCATTTTATAATTAATAGTTTAGCAATACTGCTATGATGAGTTGGCACGAGAGGGTGAGTAGGAACACAAAGACAGTCATTTCGTCCTGTTCCATTTTGAGTTCCAGGGGCGGATCCAGGAATATCAAAAGGGGGAGGGTCCATGAAGTTTTGGGTGGGGGAATATCGGCCAGCAAAGAGAGCCCATCCTTCTGGGGAGCGGTAAGCCCCTCCCCCCAGAACATTTTTTGAAATCTGACCAATATCATGGGTATTTTGAGCCCATTTGAAGCCATGTGCACTTGATATTAGGAGATGTTCTGAGGTAAATTGTAATTATTTTTTACTATACAAAAATGCCTGAGTACAATACTGCAGTAAGGAAAAGTATAGGAGTTTTCTGATGAAAAGGGGGAGGGGTCCCCCCGCTTTTTGCCTTGAATTCAGTGCCTTTCATATGATTTTCAGCGTAGAGCCTTTGTCAAAAACATCTACACGCCGTTATACACCGACTTTCTATGAGTCCTTTACTGTTAGTTCTTTATTTGTTATTTTATTAGACATTTTAAAATTATATATATTATAATAGTTATCCTTTTTTACAGTGCATTTTCTATGATATTCACCCGTGGTATCACTCCATTTTCTACTTCTTGAACTCTTTTTATCTCTTTTATTCAATATAATACTGTACTGCTCCACCTGATTTTAAAGTTGTTTAAAGAATCTATTGTGGACTATTTCATACTATATATATATGCATAATAATAGTAAAAAGGAAATGAATTGTTACTGATATCCATTATATGTATCACATTTAACAAAGAAAACGTCTTTATGACGTCATGGTCTCGTAACCAGTCACAACACGAGGAAGATAACCAATTGGACCGTTCGGTAAAACACCGTCAGAATAACAGCAGCCCTGAGTAACTCGCCTGGAGCCAGTCGCCAGCTTGCCATTGGCCTAGTAGTCATCACAGCATAAGGAAGTACTCACGCTGACCAAAACCAGTCGAAGTTATTTGTAGTTGCACACCGGTGAATTCTACCAAGATCAACTTTACATGAGTATACTTCTATTGGTTCCATTTATAGATCTATGTTGGATATTGTGTTGAATTTGTGAATTCAACATAGATTAGAAGTTATACACATGTTTATAACAACCGGTGGCTCCACAAGGTATCTTTATATGACCGGTAGGTTTTATACAGTCCACTTGAATTTAGAATAATTGTTTTAAATGATCATATAATTGGGCGTTCGAACCGGGTAGTATAGAATTCGAGTTTGAATTTATAGTTTGATTTTCTGATCTGTCTACTGGTGCTGACGCCATTTTGGTATACATAAGAACATAATAAAATAAAGAGTCTGCAAAAGGCCGGTCGGCCTGTGCAAGGCCAACCAATAGGTTACTTGATTTTAACCTATTTGGGCTGTCAAGTGGATACAGTACAGTGTAGTACCACGTTTGTATGTAGTGAGACATTTGCCACTTCGAAATAAGTCCAGTGGATATTTTTTGTATAATTAGAATAACGTTTTAAGGTAACGGCACGAAGCCCCTGTGCTTGCTCGTCTCTTCCGCCATTGCTTCAAAACCCAAACTTTTCCTTGGATCAGCCCATCCCGAAGAAGGGTTACCATTCTAATCCCTCTATCGCCCCATTGCCCTAACTTCATCCCTCTCTAAGATTTTCGAAACTATCTTGAACTCTCATGTTCTCCGTCACCTTGAGCGCCATTCGCTTTTGTCGGATCACCAGTATGACTTTCGCCAGGCGAGATATACCGGTGATCTGCTCTCCTACTGCACCCATCTTTGGTCATCCTAGCTCTCTTAGGGATTATGGGGAAACTTTCGTCGTGGCCCTCGACATCTCCAAAGCATTTGACAGGTTATAGCACAAGTCTCTGTTTTCTAAACTTCCCTCTTAAGGTTCTCTCCCCCACTTCGTTTTTTAATCTCTAGCTTCCTTGAGAACCGATCCATGGCAGTTGTTGTCGAGGGATTGATATCTCTTTCTCTACCAATGGTGTCCCACAGGGTTCTGTTCTTT